TGTTACAAATATACATATTATATAAATTCATCAATGAAGAACTGATTTGTACACAAGATTCCTCAGCGGCCTGGAGAAGCAATTTCCCTTTGAAAAGTCATGATGTTTGTATTGCGCTTAGCATGTTTGGAGCTGGGCTAATCACGAGAAGGCTCCAGCCTTCTATGATGAATTTACAATCTGGAGACAGGTACTATGGGGAAAAAGCTCTACCTCTTCTTTTGTGTAAGAATTTGGTGCCTTGGACAAGATGTCCATTCTTTTCCCTGAAGGGAGCATCATCTCTTGTCAAAGAGAACTAAAAAATGAAAACAAAAGCAGCTGCTCTTTCAATTTCTAAAACAAAAAAACAACAACAAAAAATGGTCTTTTAGTTTCTGGGTCAAACACCAACGTAAAAAGAATTTTGGGTGTCATAATCTGACTTTATGAATTGTAGCATATCAAGTTCTGTACTAGTAAATGGTGAACTTAAAGTCCTTTCATTTGTTTAGAGCAAAAGAAGTGTTAAAAATGATCAAATTAGTATATTGCGGGGGCAAAGAAAGTACACTCAAGAATTTGATGCCTAGATCATATCTCTATTCTATCATTTACAGATTGTGTGATCTTAGGCAAGTTACTTAAAATCTTTTTTTTTTTTTTTTTTTTGGTACGCAGGTCTCTCACCATTGTGGCCTCTCCCGTTGCGGAGCACAGGCTCCGCACGCGCAGGCTCAGCGGCCATGGCTCACGGGCCCAGCCACTCCGCGGCACGTGGGATCTTTCTGAACCAGGGCACGAACCTGCTTCCCCTGCATAGGCAGGTGGACGCTCAACCAATGCGCCACCAGGGAAGCCCAAGTTACTTAAAATCTTTGGGCTTTAGAAGTAGTACAGGCATGCCTCATTTTTTTTTTTTTTTTATTTTTTTTTTTTTTTTTTTTTTTTTGTGCTTTGATTAATTGTGCTTGGTAGACAGATATTGTGTGTTTTACAAATCGAAGGTTTGTGTCAACGCTGCATCGAGTAAGTCTATTGGGGCCATTTTTCCAATAGCATTTTCTCACTTCGTGTCTCTGTGTCACATTTTGAAAGTTCTCACAATATTTCTAATTTTTTCATTATTATTATATTTGTTTTGGTGATCTGTGATCAGTGATCTTTATCTTACTGCTATGACTCGCTGAAGGCTCAGGTGATGGTTAGCATTTTTAGCAAGAAAATATTTTTAATCAAGTTATGTACATTGCATTTTTAGACATAATGCTATCATTGTACACTTAATAGACCACAGTATAGTGTAAACATAGCTTTTAAATACACTGGGAAACCAAAAATTCTGTGTGACTCACTTTATTGTGATATTTGCTTCATTGGCCTTCATTGGGGTCACCTGGAACTGAACCCACAATATCTCTGAAGTCTTTCTGTACTTATTTTATGGGGCTGTTGTGAGGATGAAATGAGATAATGACTATAAAGCACTCAGCACAAGGGCTAGGCAGAGAGTCAGAGCTCAATAACCAAAAGCTCCCACTCCTAGGCAGATATCTGGAGAAAACCATAATTCAAAAAGATACATGCACCCCAATGTTCACTGCAGCACTATTTACAATAGCCAAGACATGGAAGCAACCTAAATGTCCATCAACAGAGGAATGGATAAAGATGTGGTACATATATACAATGGAATATTACTCAGCCATAAAGAAGAACGAAATAATGCCATTTGCAGCAACATGGATGGACCTAGAGATTGGCATACTGAGTGAAGTAAGTCAGACAGAGAAAGACAAATATCATATGATGTTGCTTATATGTGGAATTAAAAAAAATGGTACAAATGAACTTTACAAAACAGAAACAGAGTTACAGATGTAGAAAACAAACATAGTTATCAGGGGGTTGCAGGGGAGGGATAAACTGGGAGATTGGAATTGACATATACACACTACTATATATAAAATAGATGACTAATAAGGACCTACTGTATAGCTGTATAGCACAGGGAACTCTATTTAATACTCTTTAATGGCCTATATGGGAAAAGAATCTAAAAAAAAAAGAGTGGATATATGTATATGTATAACTGATTCACTGGCTATATGCCTGAAACTAACACAACATTGTAAATCAACTATACTCCAATAAAAATTAAAAAAAAAAAGCCACTGAAACCTCATAATTCATAGTAACTATAAGATGCAGTCTAAATTTTTGGCAATTAATTTAGATTATATATGTATAACCTACATACATATAGATGTGTATGTATACATACACACACACAAACTATATATATGTATATTTACACACAACTATATATATATATGTACACACAGCAACATGTATGTATATACATGTACACACAACTATATATATCAGAACATTTTCCTTAAGTGCTTTTGGTTGACACCCTTAGTCTTTAGACTTCCTTGAAGTCAGGAACTAGGCCCTGGGCAGGGCACTATGCTTCCTCAGCCGCTGGCTTTCTGGTTCCACTGACTGCCCTCCCGGGGCAATGACATAATTCTTCTTATATGCCTTTGGTTAGGAGAATGACTGGGCAACAGACACAAGTGATACATTTCTGCTGCTCTCAGGTTTTTCTTGCAGTTGTGAATGACAGAGAAATGCAATCAGCGGGGACTGTGTTAACACTATCAAGTGATCTCCAAAAGGCCTTTCTCTCTTATTTTGACTGCTTGGCTTTCTGTCATAGGTTACATGTCTCAGGGGTTTCATAGTCTGCAGTACTTGGGCATAGCTTCTTCTTGTATTAGAGTGTGTCATCTGTGGCTCAATAGCAATTTTGTTACACATGCTGTATTACTAATGTTAATACTAATGTTAATACTGTCATGTGGCCCTCTGGACCACTTGGTTCTTCCCTTCTCTGGCCCACTCTCATCTTCATCCCACACCTTCTTTTTCTTCCTGTCTGCTGCTTCTTTTTTTTTTATAAATAAGCAATTAACATTTATTGAGGCTTACTATTATAATCTGTTACAATAGCACTGTTATAATCACTTTACACCTATTAACCCCTTCAATCCTCACAACCTTATGAGAGGGCACTATTATTACCCTCATTTTACAGTAGCGAAAACAGGCCCAGACAATTAAGGAACTTGTGCAAGACCATTCAGCCTCAAAACTTTCATCAGCCTATATATCTTTACTGCTTTTTATCATTTTAATACTAAGTTTTGAAGAAGACTTTATTTATTGATTTATTTTTGAAATAACAGTGGTGTGTTTTTTCTTTTTTAATTTTATTTTTGGCCACACCATGGGGCATGTGGGATCTTAGATCCCTGACCAGTGATCGAACCCGTGTCCCCTGCATTGGTAGCATGGAGTCTTAACCACTGGACCTCCAAGGAAGTCCCTAGAGAAGACTTTAAATGATCAATTTCCTCAAGTTCTCAGTGTAGGGATATTTTCCTGGAGGTGGGAAGGGAATGCATCACAGGGTCCCAGAATTTTGAGGGTCATCTTGTATAAGGTGGAACCCTCAGATCCAAGAAGTTTTTGCATCTTGTTAAGGACCCTTGGGGACCATTAAAAGACAAGATCATGCTTTACAAGGCTAAGGCAATGAATGGAACTAGAATTAGAATGTTCCCTGAATGGATTCTGTGGCTGTTTTGGAGTGAGACATTTTTATTCATCTCCAAGCCAAAAGCAGATGTGTTTTTTTAGGAATGGTTAAAGTTCAGGGGTTGGGAATGGGGGAGGGAGAAGAGAGATCATCAGACTTCACCCTCAGATCTTTTTCGGAATGAGACAAGAGTATAAAACCAAAACAAACCAATAAAGAAACCTGCAAGGTTCCTCCACCCTGCTCCCTGAACTGACCAAGAGCCAACACCCATCTTCAAGGACCCTGATCCTTGGTTTTTCCCCGAGTCCTGGAGACAGTCCTTTTCTGAGTAACGTTTACTTGGAACACAGCCTGTTGTCAACAGAAAGGCTCTATTTGGAATAAGCCTTCACGTAGGTCAGTCACTGAACTCTATCAGGTCATGCTGGGAGGGACCCATGGGGGTGAGGAGAATATTCTCTCCAATGGAGAACGGAGACAAGTACACAGAGGAGGCCAGCCTTGTCTTCTTTGGTGGCCAAGGGACCTGCACCTATGACAGAGAAACTGCATTTCGGAGAGCTGGGAGGGAGTGCCAGGCTCACAGAAGTGTGATCTGAGCTCTCCCACAGGGCTGCCTGCAGTTCACCTCTGGAAGGCGACCTTGTGAGCCAAGTTCTTAAAGGCGGACAGGGATGATGCTGGGCCATGAGGGGGTGACAGAAGCGATAGTGTGCCCTTTATGAAGGCTGTGAGCAAGAAGAGAGGATAAAATAGCTATACCGCATGTGGTGTTGGAGTGGGAGTGCCAAGTGAGCCATCAGCTCCAACTTCGCAAAATGCAAGGCAGGAAGCACCTGAAAGGGCAGGGTGGGACGGGTCGGTGCTCCCAGCTTATTAGGGAATCTGTAATGAATCGGTGTCTGGGCACGTACGCGAAGGTGTTCACGTCCACCACTGCGAACACACCCCGCAGCAGTCAAGGTCCTTATCACGAAAAGCCAACAGTCACGGCACGGATGATTGGAGGGACAGGAGAAAAGGGGTCGTCGGGTGAACACCACTTGTGTTTAGGGGGTGTCTGTGACGGGTGCCATCCAGGCACGCCCCCTCTTTTCGGCAGCTTTCCTCTCTGCCCACTTCCGTCCTTAGAAGGACAGACACTGGCCCGTGGCCACGTGCCAAGGGAGGCCGAGCCGCGAGGGGGGGGCAGAGGTCGGGGAGGCGGCGAAAGGTCCCTTAGATACGGCCGCCCGGCCCTTCCTTTAGACTCTGGACGTGCGGGGACCGGGGCCGCTCTGCCTCCGCCTCCGCCTTATAAGAAGCCCGGGTGCTGGCGGGCAGGGCGGCCCGGGAGGCGGGGACCAGGCCACGGCGGAGTCCAGGGCGCCGCGCCCCCACCTGTGGCGGCGGGACGATCGGCCGGGCGGGGATGGGCCGCTACTCGGGCAAGACGTGCAGGCTGCTCTTCATGCTCGTGCTCACCGTCGCCTTCTTCGTGGCCGAGCTGGTGTCGGGCTACCTGGGCAACTCCATCGCGCTGCTGTCCGACTCCTTCAACATGCTGTCGGACCTGATCTCGCTGTGCGTGGGGCTGAGCGCCGGCTACATCGCCCGGCGCCCCCGCGGGAGCCTGAGCGCCACCTACGGCTACGCCCGCGCCGAGGTGGTGGGCGCGCTCGGCAACGCCGTCTTCCTTACCGCGCTCTGCTTCACCATCTTCGTGGAGGCCGTGCTGCGCCTGGCTAGGCCCGAGCGCATCGATGACCCCGAGCTGGTGCTCATCGTGGGCGCCCTGGGGCTGGCCGTGAACGTGGTAGGGCTGCTCATCTTCCAGGACTGCGACGCCTGGTTCGCCTGCTGCGGCCACCGCCGCTGCCAACAGCAGCGGCATCAGCAGCCGGCGGCCGGGGGCGGCCCTCGCGGCGTCTTCCCGGGTCCCCAAGGCGCCGAGGGCCGCTGGCACGCCGCCGCCCTGCCAGCCCCCGGCCGCGACTCGGCCGTGACCCTCCGTGTGGCCTCGGTGGACAGGAAGGACGAGAAGGGGGCGACCGTGTTCTCCAACGTAGCAGGTGCCTTTCGGTTGCATCTTCTGGACCGCGTTGCCCTTCCCTCCCCCGCGCGCCCGGTCCCTTCTTCCTCGCCCCACGCCCTCTTTTTACCTGTCTGCTTTAAAAACAAAAAAAAAACAAACAAAAAAACCACACAATTATTTCCTCTGCCGGCCGGCATTAAGTCTGTGCCGCTAACTGAACGTATTCCCCCGATCTCTTTTCTATTTCCTCCTGGGCCCTCGGGCCCCCTTTGCTTCTTTTCCCCTCCCCCTATTCTCTTTGTATAGGAGTATTGATTCTCCCGGAAATCAGTTATTATTATTGGGCAACAGATAGCACTCCCCACCTCTCCCTCCTCCATTGGATACTATCTGCACTTTGTTTTTCTTCCTCCCCCTTTGCCCATCCGTCTATCCCCCTGGGAGTTATGGGTTTGGGGTTGGGGGTGGATTCCCACTGCCTCTTTGTTTGTTTGTTTGTTTGTTTGTTTGAACTTGAATGAAAGTGTGAAGGAAGTCCAAAGGTGAATTACAAGGCTGATTTAAAGGCCAAAATGTGCCACTCTGGGCTGTGTGTTTGGAGAGGTGGGGGGGCCGATGAGGTAGTGGGCTTTGAAAATGACGAAACGTTTTGTTGAGTCCATTGGTTCTTTTTGTTTGTAGAACTTATACACAACACAAGGTTTCTTCTTTGAATGCAGGTGATTCCCTGACTCCGCAGAATGAACCAGAAGAGACTATGAAAAAGGAGAACAAGTCCGAAGCCCTGAATATCAGAGGTAGGACTGACCCGGGGTCAAGCTGAAATCCTTTACAGTGTTACGCGTGGACTGGGCTGGACTCTTCCTTTCTGTTTGCCTTTTCAAAGGTGTGTTAGAAAGTAGGCTGGTTACATGCAGAGACTATTACCTAGGTCTCTTGCCTAATCACGGCATCGATTCTGGGGGAGTCAGAGTTGCTAATGATTTATCCTTGCTCCACTTAGGCCCATGCTCACGCTGCCTGCTCCAGAGTCTCACAGATCCCTGGCATGCTACTGCTTGATTTTGCCTGCCCGTGGATATTGCTAACATAAAATGCAGCCTGTTTGAATTGGATATCATTTTGATAAAGGTTGGAAGAGAGTAGGTGGGATCTATCCAAGGTTATGCCCCAAGTGACCTTGCTGACTGACCCTCATTGCCTCACTTACTTTGCTCAGAAAACTGCTCCTGAGGTGGTCTGTTGGTTCAGTTGAGTTTCCACCTCAAGGTCTAAAGAAGGGGTTCTGGGGAGACAGAGGAAGGCACATCACTTGCATCCCTCCTACCATGCGCTCATCACAAACCCAGGGCAAAGTTTAGCCCTGGGAGTTCAAAAGTGGGTTTCTCACCAGACACCAACATGGTACATTACATCTCCCCTTTCCAACTTCTTGGGCACAGATTTTGCTTCAGAGTGATTCAAGAAAGCCCAGTTCCCAATCTGATGGAGAATGTCAACAAAAGTTATGCAGCCCTTTACCTTTAGATGGTTTGAGGAAGCCTGAAGTGGGGCTTAGAGGTAAATAATACAAAGAAAAACAAATAATGCAGGAAACGCCTTCATTTCTGAGAGTCTAACGTCTGTTTTACAAGTGATACCCAGAATGAATCTGGACGGAAAATCAGAAAAGAACAGCAGCAGCACATGAGCTCCTAAAAATTTTCAAATGAGGGCTTCCCTGGTGGCGCAGTGCTTGAGAGTCCGCCTGCCGATGCAGGAGACGCGGGTTCGTGCCCCGTTTCGGGAAGATCCCACATGCCGCGGAGCGGCTGGGCCCGTGAGCCATGGCCACTGAGCCTGCGCGTCCGGAGCCTGTGCTCCGCAAATGGGAGAGGCCACAACAGTGAGAGGCCCGCATAACGCAAGGAAAAAAAAAAAAAAAAAAAAAAAAAAAAAAAAAAAATTTTCAAATGAATTAGTTAAAAAAATTTAACTGCAACAGGGGAATTCCTAAAAAACATGGTGGTGAATCTTTTTGGAAAGAGGATCTGTGATGAAAACTCATAATCCTTTAGTTTATCCTTTTTTTAAGTTCAGTTTAAATATAAATATATAGAATATATATGTTATTAATATATATTACATATATAATATATATTAATAACATATATATTCTATATATATATTTAATGGGCTTTTAAGATGGAGTTCACCATCATAGCACTTTACCTTTTCAAAGCACATTCTGTTTTTTTATTTTCTTTAATTGAGATATTATTAGCATATAACACTAGTTTCAGGTGTACAACATAATGATTCGATCTTTGTATGTATTGTGAAATGATCACCACAGTATAAATATAAATACATGAATAACAGTGTCTGGTTAACATCCATCATTATGCACAGTAACAATTTTTTTTTCTCATAATGAGAACTTTTAAGATCTACTCTTTTGGCAACTTTCAAATATATGGTACAGTATTATTTTTTTTTCTTATTTTATTTATTATTATTTTTAATACACATTTATTGGAGTATAATTGCTTCACAACACTGTGTTAGTTTCTGTTGTACAACAAAGTGGATCAGCCATATGCATACACATGTCCCCATATCCCCTCCCTCTTGCGTCTCCCTCCCTCCCTCCCTATCCCACCCCTCTAGGTGGTCACAAAGCACGGAGCTGATCTCCCTGTACTATGCAGCTGCTTCCCACTAGCTGTCTGTTTTACATTTGGTAGTGTATATATGTCCATGCCACTCTCTCACTTCGTCCCAGCTTCCCCCTCCACACCCGGTGTCCTCAAGTCGATGCTCTATGTCTATGTCTTTATTCCTGCCCTGCCACTAGGTTCATCGTTATAGTCACCCTGATGTCCATGGCATCTCCATGACTTATTTATCTTATAACTGGAAGTTTGTATCTTTTGACTCCATTCACCCATTTTGCCCACCCCTCCGCCACCTCTGTCAACCACCAATCTGTTCTCTGTATCTGTGAGCCTTTTTTTTTTTTTTTAAGATGCCTCATACAAGTGAGCTTGTTGATTTTGCTGCTCAAGGAGACCTTTGTCCAGGTGCAAGTACTGCAGTAAAGGGTCCCAGGTCCCAGCCTGTCTCACCACCATTTAAGACATACGTATAGTGGGGTGAGGAGGGCTTAGGCAGGAGGATCTGGTTTGAGTTCTGTCTCTGCCTTCCACTAGCTATGTGACCTTGGGCAAGTAACGTTCCCTCTTGGACCTTCATTTTCCTTATCTACATAAGGGAGATAATAGCAGTGCTGACATCTCTGTGTTGTTGTGAGAGATACATGGCTGATGGGAACAGCACAGAGGATTCCCTTAATGAATTGCCTTCCCATCAGTTCTGTGCACTTACTTCTCAGTGGGTTTTCAGACGTTGTTTCACGTACTCTTTTTTTTTTTAATTTCTACAACATTTTATTTTTATTATAAATTATATATGCATAATAAGTGACTCAAATTTCAGCTAGACATAGAAATAACAAATAAAACATCTTTTGGCTCGCATGATAATAAGACATTAACCCTTAAAGTCTTTGAGATGGCAACATGCAACACAAATGTATTCAAGATAGCTGAGTCACTAACAAGTTTCAGAGCTCCAGATTAGGTCGTATTAATTTCCAAGCGTTCTACTGACTCTGTTATTCTATGATCCTGAAAGTCAATAGCAAAAAGCAAATCACGGCAGTATTTCAACAGTTTATCCTGCCACACATGCACACACACACACACACCGGCTATGTTTTCGTTAGATTTTTAGACACATTGTTTTCTAGTATCACATCCTCTTCAGAACTAGCCTCTTCGAGAAGGGAGGCAGATGCTCTTCTTATTCCCGTTTCACCAGTGAGAATCTTGCCGCTCAGAGAGGTTGACTTTCACAAGATCCATGACTCACAGAGACTGTCAGGTCTGCGACTCTAAATGTAGGGCACCCGTCTCCCATGTTGCCTGACAAGCACATCCTCCTCTGCATCCTCCTTTGAGTTCTCTGCTTGGAACACCTTTTCTCTGAGTTTCTCTGCCTGGGACTATTGCCTTTTGAAGCCTGTCTCCTCTTCAGAGTCCTGCCCATCTCTCGAGAAGGCTTTCTTGAGATTTCTCATCGCAGGGAATAATCGTCCCTCTGGAAGTTACTGACGCACTTATCCAGAACCCTGCCAGTGGACTGAGGTCCCCAGAAGATAATGACCATCTTTGCACGGGAGGCCAGAATACACACAGCAATATCTCAGGAATTTAGTGAAATGAAGCTGTAAGCAGTTTTTCAGACTGAGGGTCACGCTAGTTTGGGTTGTAAAATCAATTTAGTAAAGTATGATCAGCATTTTGAAAACTAACTAGAATTGAATGAAATAGTATAGAAAATAGTAGTAAATCCCATGTAAGGATAGGTTTTGTTTTTTCAAGAAACATTTGTTTCAGTGTGCGTTTGTGCCTGGGCTAGGATGCAAAATAAGATTCTTACTGTGGATTATGTGAAAAATAAGTTTGAACACTCTTTTATGTAATTCTTAGGGTCCGGTAGTGAGATTTCTCAGAAGGAGAACCTGAAACTGGAATTTAGGACTTAGATGGGGCAGGATGCACAATGGTTCTGTAGTCATACTATGGAGATTTATATCCCCACACAAACACTTTCTAGCTGTGTGCTCTTGGATAAGTTACTAAGCTACTCTGTGCCTCAGTTTCCTCATTTGTAGAGTGGAGAGAGTAACCACTTTAGAGAGTCCTTAAGAGGACTTAATGTGTAAATACATGCAACATACAACAATGACTGGTGCATATATGTTAGCTAGCATTACAGTTATTATAATTAAGTAAAAGGCAGAAGGTACTCTACGTCGTGGGAGTTATGACTGACCAACCAGAAAACTGTTTTTTATTGAGTGCCTAGATTGTATGCCTCCAGTGCTAAAATACAAACAAAGGAAATGCAGGGTACGACCTTCACCTTCTTGTTACTTATAGTCTAATGGAGGAAATGAGGCTGACATCCATGGAGAAGAGAATAACAGATGGTCTCAGGCCATGAAAATGATGTCGAGTGCATATAGGAAATGTTTGGTCTTCTTATTTTTATGGTAGTATTTTGTACTGTCCTGGAGAAGGTTAAAGCTTTGATCTTCAGTTCCTCCTGGAGAAACAAGCTGTAGAGACCAACTCTTGGGAACATTTTGAGTTTCTCTTTTTGGCTGAGGACAAGAACTGGGGAGTAAGAAGCCCCCATAGGGGTGGGGTGGGAAGAAGGGGGCACAGAATTTAAAAATGGAACTACTTAATGTATTTATTGAATCGGGACTCTGTTACCATAAGTAAACACTCAGCCAGAAGGAGATGTGGGGATTCTTTTTATTCTTGTAATTTTTTGGTGGCGGGGGGAGGTTGCCACAAACTACATTTAGTGTGTTTGCAAAATGCCATTCGACCTACGATGCTACTCAGAATCTTAGAAGTGCTGCCAGGAGGAAGTAGCCTCTTCTAAGTGAAACTATTCAGTTGTAGCCATGAGTGAGTTGTTAGTATTTTGGATGATTATTAATTCTACTGAGTGAATCTGGGGTACATGGAGGGTTAATCCATATACTTTCTTCTAGAGCAGGGCCTTGAAAACTTCTATGTACATTTCAGTCACCTGGGGATCTTATTAAAATGCAGAATCGGGGCTTCCCTGGTGGCACAGTGGTTGGGAGTCCGCCTGCCGATGCAGGGGACGCGGGTTCGTGCCCCGGTCCGGGAAGATCCCACGTGCCACGGAGCGGCTGGGCCCGTGAGCCATGGCCGCTGAGCCTGCGCGTCCGGAGCCTGTGCTCCGCAACGGGAGAAACCACAACAGTGAGAGGCCCACGTACCGCAAAAAATAAAATAAAATAAAATAATAAAAATGCAGAATCGATTCAATAGATCGGAGGTGGAGCCTGAGATTCTGTCTTTCTCAGAAGCTTCTAGGTGATGTTGGTGCTTCTGGTCTGCAAACCATACTTTGGAAAGAAAGATTCTGATGTTGCTTTCTGTAAAGAAAAATACTTTGTGTTTATACTTTATAATCCTAACAAATCTCCACTCCATTCACTAAATCCCAGTTCAGTCTATGTCCAACAAACAATTGGACACTTAGATCTTCTTTAGAATTACATGCTTTTTGTATCATAACCGAAAACTTTCGAAGTGGTTCCCTTAAGTAAAGGCATCCACAATTTTTGTTATTATCTGTAGAATTTAAATGTTATTTTATTGTTACAAAGGGCTCTTTATTTAGTGGGAATGTTGCTGGACACTGTGGAGGACCTCTTAAACCAAAGGCAGTTTAAGTGACCACAGGCTAAGTGAGAAGTAGGTAAATGCATTTAGGGAAGGGGGAAATGGATCAAGGTAGAGGGAAGACAAAGAATAAATAAATATAAATATTATATTTATCTGTAACAAACCATAATGGAAAAGAATATGACAAAGAATATGTATACCTGAATCGCTTTGCTGTACACCAGAAACTAACACAACGTTGTAAATCAATTATACTTCAATTAGGAAAAAAAAGTTTGGGAATTCCCTGGCGGTCCAGTGGATAAGACTCTGTGGTTTTAATGCTGTGGGCCTGGGTTCGATCCCTGGTTGGGGAACTAAGATCTCACAATCCACGTGGCATGGCACCCCCCCAAAATAAAAAATGTTTGAAACAATTTAAATCACAGACACCTGTCTGAAAGAAAAAGAAACCATTTGCATAGCATCTGTTTCCAGCTTGGTGCCCTCTGATGGGTGGTAGGTGGCAACAATGTGGCGCCCTGAACTGGCACAGTCCCTCTTCCCACAGGTGTCTGCAGCTCAGAATCTTCCTAGGCTGTTCCAGGTTCTCTGGGTCCTGGGATGGTGGCCTGAGGTTTTGTTTTTTGTGCAGCAGTGGCCATTGTTTTTTGCTTTCAAGTCCAGCCTGCTGTTCTAACTGAACAGAGAACAAATAGCAACAGGTATTCATAGACTTGGGAAGCCAAGTCAGTGAGTGTCACGTGGGCTCTATTGGTCTTTCTTTCTTCCCCGCAGGAGTACTTTTACATGTGATGGGAGATGCCCTGGGGTCGGTGGTTGTGGTGATTACAGCCATCATATTCTACGTGCTTCCCCTGAAGCATGAGGACCCATGTAACTGGCAGTGCTACATTGACCCCAGCCTGACTGTCATCATGGTCATCATTATTTTGTCATCTGCCTTCCCACTCATTAAGGAGACTGCTGCCATTCTACTGCAGATGGTCCCCAAAGGCGTCAACATGGAAGAGCTGAGTAAGTCATGCAATTCTTATCTTGAACCACTGCCCAGTGACTGTTCTTCAGGCCAAAGGGCCAGCATTGTTTCAGAGCAGTGTTTGATTTCTGTATCCTGAAATACTTTAAATCACAAAGCAATAGAGACATCCTCACATGTTTTGTAGATGACTGCTGCTACTAAGATGACTCACAGCTCCAAGAACCAAAGGTCCTTTTTAGCCCATCATTCTCTGACTCTACTGCAAATTTTTAAGAATGTGTTGCTTGGGCAATACCTATTCCTGGGCTATTTATTTATCTTCATGTCAGAGATTTATTCTAACTCAGATAAGGCCACTCTGCCCAGGACTTGATTTTTATTCCCCCTATTCTGAAAACATGAGTCATTCCTTCCTATTCTAGATCCTGCTTTTTAGCTAACTGATTTTTGTGGGCACACAAGTCACCGTGTGTCCTATAACACAGTAAAATGGACCATATTTAAATTCACTCATTCAGTAGTGGAATCTGTTTCTTTGCTTTGCTCAAATAGAAGCTCAAACTCTCACTTGAGTTTATGTGCATCTGAGGATATAACATTTTAATAGACTTTATAGAATGTCTGAATGGGAACTCTCCAGATGTTGGTGAGAAACTGAATGTGCAACTTCAGTTCTAGTGTTTCTAAATGCAGATGAAGTTTTAATAGGAAAAAATTTTTTTCATGAATATTTGCTATTATTCGATCTATCATTACTTCACCAGTGAGCCAGTAAACATGATCTATAGCCCAGGCCCACTATGCAGTTGAAGGTTGGAAGACCTTATTTCATGACAAATAGCTGAAATTAGATTTCATGGGTCTTAATATATTGAACAGCCGTGGCTAGCCTTTCCCCCTACAGGCATGATTTACAGTGTGACCGTCCTGCATGCCTACTCTTTGCCCAGTGCTGCAGGCAGAGGACGATGGAGGTAAAAGAGGCTCCAAGGAGCAGATATATGGCATCATTTTCCTTCCAGGGCTTGTTTGCCAATGGAAAAAAACAAAATAAGCATATACAAAGCAACTTGTGATATATATTGGCTTATATTGCCTTTTAACAAAATAATATAGATATATTGAAAAGCAGATATTAAAAAATTAGAGTGTAATAACGATAGCAACACTCTTATGATACTACATATCTATAAATAATATAGATATATTGAAAAGCAGATATTAAAAAAATTAGAGTGTAATAACGATAGCAACACTCTTATGATACTTATTACATGCTAGGTAATATTGTCCAAATGCTTTACTTATATTAACTCATTTTAATCCTTAAAATAAACTTATGAGGTACTGTCATTATCATTCCTAATTTACAGATAAGGAAACCGAGGCACAGAGGGACTGGGTAAATTTTACAAGGTCCTGCAGGTAGTAAATGATTAACTGGGATTCAAACTCTAGCTGGCTACAGGTTGTTCATCATCACTGTTCAATACCATCTTTCTAAATACATACTAATTTTAGAAATTATGGAAAATATAGAAGAGCCTAAATAAGAAAATAGAAATCTCTCATAATCCTACCACCCAGAAATTACCACTCTTAATATTTTATGTCAGTCATTCAATAAAACAAGACTTAATCTATCTAAAAAAATCACTTCTGTGTGTATATATATACACTGATGTTTCATTTTTAAAAAATGGAAAGATAAGAAAAATAAGACAGAGAAATATGCAGGAGATGAAGGAGCAAAGTAAACAGACCAAAACAAAGGAGCAAAGTAAACCAGACCAAACAAATGAAGAGGAAATAGGCAGTCTACCTGAAAAAGAATTCATAGTAATGATAGTAAAGATATCCAAAATCTTGGAAATAGAATGAAAAAAATACAAGAAACATTTAACAAGGACCTAGAAGAACTAAAGAGCAAATAAACAATGATGAACAACACAACAAATGAAATTAAAAATTCTCTAAAAGGAATCAATAGCAGAATAACTGAGGCAGAAGAATGGATAAGTGATATGGAAGATAAAATAGTGAAATAACTTCTGTAGAGCAGAATAAAGAAAAAAGAATGAAAAGAATTGAGGACAGTCTCAGAGACCTCTGGGACAACATTAAACACACCAACATTTGAATTATAGGGGTCCTAGAAGAAGAAGAGAAAAACAAAGGGACCGAGAAAATATTTGAAGAGATTTTATTTGAAAATTTCCCTAATATGGGAAAGGAAATATTCAGTCAAGTCCAGGAAGCACAGAGCGTTCCATACAGGATAAATCCAAGGAGAAACACACCAAGACACATATCAAGCTATCAAAAATTAAATGCAAAGAAAAAGTATTAAAAGCAGCAAGGGAGAAGCAACAAATAACATAAAAGGGAATCCCCATAAGGTTAACAGCTGATTTTTCAGCAGAAACTGCAAGCCAGAAGGAAGTGGCAGGACATATTTAAAGTGATGAAAGGGAAAAACCTACAACTAAGATTACTCTACCCAGCAAGGATCTCATTCAAATTCAACAGAGAAATTCAAAGCTTTACAGACAAGCAAAAGCTAAGAGAATTCAACACCACTAAACCAGCTTTACAACAAATTCTAAAGGAACTTCTCTAGGCAGGAAACACAGGAGAAGGAAAACACCTACAATAACAAACCCAAAACAATTAAGAAAATGGTAATAGGAACACACATATCGATAACTACCTTAAATGTAAATGGATTAAATGCTCCAACCAAAAGACATACACTGGCTGAATGCATACAAAAACAAGACCCATATATATACTGTCTACAAGAGACTCACTTCAGACCAAGGGACACATACAGACTTAAAGTGTGGGGATGGAAAAAGATATTCCATGCCAATGGAAATCAAAAGAAAGCTGGAGTAGCAGTTCTCATATCAGACAAAATAGATTTTAAACTAAATACTATTACAAGAAACAAAGAAGGACACTACATAATGATCAAGGGATCAATCCAAGAAGAAGATATAACAATTGTGAATATTTATGCACCCAACATAGGAGCACCTCAATACATAAGGCAAATGCTAACAGCCATAAAAGGGGAAATCAACAGTAACACAATCACAGTGGGGGACTTTGACACCCCCTTTCACCAATGGACGGATCATTTAGAATGAGAATAAATAAGGAAACACAAGCTTTAAATGACACATTAAATAAGATGGACTTAATTGATATTTATAGGACACTCCATCCAAAAACAACAGAATACACTTTCTTCTCAAGTGCTCATGGAACATTCTCCAGGATAGATCATATCTTGGGTTACAAAGGAAACCTTGGTAAACTTAAAAAAATGGAAATCGTATCAAGTATCTTTTCTGACCACAATGCTATGAGACTAGATATCAATAACAGGAAAAAAACTGTAAAAAAATGCAAACACATGGAGGCTAAACAATACACTACTAAATAACCAAGAGATCACTGAAGAAATCAAAGAGGAAATCAACAAATGCCTAGAAACAAATGAGAAAGAAAACACGACAACCCAAAACCTATGGGATGCAGCAAAAGCAGTTCTAAGAGGAAAGTTTATAGCTATACAATCCTACCTCAAGAAACAAGAAAAATCTCAAACAAACAATCTAACCTTACACCTAAAGCAATTAGAGAAAGAAGAACAAAAAAACTCCAAAATTAGCAGAAGGAAAGAAATCATAAATATCAGATCAGAAATAAATGAAAAAGAAATGAAGGAAACAATAGCAAAGATCAATAAAACAAACTAAAAACTAAATAATAAAAACTTTTTCAGGATCTTTGAGAAGATAAACAAAACTGATAAACCATTAGCCAGACTCAACAAGAAAAAAAGGGAGAAGACTCAAATCAACAGAATTAGAAATGAAAAAGGAGAAGTAACAACTGACACTGCAGAAATACAAAAGATCCTGAGAGATTACTACAAGCAACTCTATGCCAATAGAATGGACAGCCTGGAAGAAATGAACAAATTCTTAGAAAAGCACAAACTTCCAAGACTGAACCAGGAAGAAATAGAAAACATAAATAGACCAATCACAAGCACTGAAATTGAAACTGTGATTAAAAATCTTCCAACAAACAAAAGCCCAGGACCAGATGGCTTCACAGGGGAATTCTATCAAACATTTAGAGAAGAGCTAACACCTATCCTTCTCAAACTCTTCCAAAATATAGCAGAGGGAGGAACACTCCCCAACTCATTCTACGAGGCCACCATCACCCTGATACCAAAACCAGACAAAGATGTCACAAAGAAAGAAAACTACAGGCCAATATCACTGATGAACATAGATGCAAAAATCCTCAACGAAATACTAGCAAACAGAATCCAATAGCACATTAAGAGGATCATTAAAAGGATCATACCATGATCAGGTGGGGTTTACCCCAGGAATGCAAGGATTCTTCAATATATGCAAGTCAATCAATGTGATACACTATATTAACATATTGAAGGAGAAAAACCATATGATCATCTCAGTAGGTGCAGCAAAAGCTTTCGACAAAATTCAACACGCATTTACGATAAAAGCCCTGCAGAAAGTAGTCATAGAGGGAATTTACCTCAACATAATAAAGGCCACATATGACAAGCCCAAAGCCAACATCATTCTCAATGGTGAAAAAATGAAACCATTTCCACTAAGATCAGGAACAAGGCAAGGCTGCCCACTTTCCCCACTATTATTCAACATAGTTTTGGAAGTTTTAGCCACAGCAATCAGAGAAGAAAAAGAAATAAAAGGAATCAAAATCAGAAGAGAAGAAGTAAAACTGTCATTGTTTGCAGGTGACATGATGCTATACATAGAGAATCCTAAAGATGCTACCAAAAAACTACTAGAGCTAATCAATGAATTTGGTAAAGTAGCAGGATACAAAATTAATGCACAGAAATCTCTTGCATTCCTATACACTAATGATGAAAAGTCTGAAAGAGAAATTAAGGACACACTCCCATTTACCATTGCAACAAAAAGAATAAAATACCTAGATATAAACCTACCTAAGGAGATGAAAGACCTGTATGCAGAAAACTATAAGACACTGATGAAAGAAATTAAAGATGGTACAAACAGATGGAGAGATATACCATGTTCTTGGATTGAAAGAATCAACATTGTGAAAATGGCTCTACTACCCAAAGCAATCTACAGATTCAATGCAATCCCTATCAAACTACCAATGGTATTTTTCACAGAACTAGAACAAAAAATTTCACAATTTCTATGGAAATGCAAAAGACCCCAAAAAGCCAAAGCAATCTTGAGAAAGGCAAACAGAGCTGGAAGAATCAGGCTCCCTGACTTCAGACTATGCTACAAAGCTACAGTAAACAAGACAGTATGGTACTGGCACAAAAACAGAAATATAGATCAATGGAACAGAGTAGAAAGCCCAGAGATAAACCCATGTGCATATGGTCTCCTTATCTTTGGTAAAGGAGGCAAGAATATACAATGGAGAAAAGACAGCCTCTTCAATAAGTGGTGTTGGAAAAACTGGACAGCTACATGTTAAAGAATGAAATTAGAACACTCCCTAACACCATACACAAAAATAAATTCAAAATGAATTAAAGACCTAAATGTAAGGCCAGAAACTATCAAACTCTTAGAGGAAAACATAGGCAGAACACTCTATGGCATAAATCACAGCAAGATCCTTTTTGACCGACCTCCTAGAGAAGTGGAAATAAAAACAAAAATAAACAAATGGGACCTAATGAAACTTAAAAGCTTTTGCACAGCAAAGGAAACCATCAACGAGACGAAAAGACAACCCTCAGATGGGAAAAATATTTGCAAATGGAGCAGCTGACAAAGGATTAATCTCAAAAATATATAAGCAGCTCATGCAGCTCAATATCAAAAACACAAACAACCCAATCCAACAATAGGCCGAACACCTAAATAGACATTTCTCCAAAGAAGATATTCATGTTGCCAACAAACACATGAAAGCATGCTCAACATCATTAATCATTAGAGAAATGCAAGTCAAAACTACAATGAGGGCTTCCCTGGTGGCGCAGTGGTTGAGAGTCCGCCTGCCGATGCAGGGGACACGGGTTAGTGCCCCGGTCCGGGAAGATCCCACATGCCGTGGAACAGCTAGGCCAGTGAGCCATGGCCGCCGAGCCTGCGTGTCCAGAGGCTGTGCTCTGCCACGGGAGAGGCCACAACAGTGAGAGGCCCGCGTACCGCCAAAAAAAAACAAAAAACAAAAAAACTGCAATGAGGTATCACCTCACACCAGTCAGAATGGCCATCATCAAAAACTCTGCAAACAATAAATGCTGGAGAGGGTGTGGAGAAAAGGGAACCCTCTTGCACTGTTGGTGGGAATGTAGATTGATACAGCCACTATGGAGAACAGTTTGGAGGTTCCTTAAAAAACTAAAAACCGTATGACCTAGCAACCCCACTAGTGGGCATATACCCTGAGAAAACCATAATTCAAAAAGAGTCATGTTGGCTTCCCTGGTGGCGCAGTGGTTGAGAGTCTGCCTGCCGATGCAGATGACACGGGTTCGTGCCCCGGTCCGGGAAAATCCCACATGCCACAGAGTGGCTAGGCCCATGAGCCATGGCTTCTGAGCCTGCACATCTGGAGCCTGTACTCCACAATGGGAGAGGCCACAACAGTGAGAGGCCCACGTACTGCAAAAAAAAAAAAACGAGTCATGTACCGCAATGTTCATCGCAGCAGTATTTACAATAGCCAGGACATGGAAGCAACCTAAGTGTCCATCGACAGATGAATGGATAAAGAAGATGTGGCACATATGTATAATGGAATATTACTCAGCCATAAAAAGAAACAAAACTGAGTTATTTGTACTGAGGTGGATGGACCTAGAGTCTGTCATACAGAGTGAACTAAGTCAGAAAGAATAAAACAAATCCCGTATGCTAACACATATATATGGAATCTAAAAAAAAAAAGTTTCTCAAGCACCTAGGGGCAGGACAGGAGTAAAGATGTAGATGTAGAGAATGGACTTGAGGACATGGGGAGGGGAAAGGGTAAGCTGGGACGAAGTGAGAGAGTGGCATGGACACATATAGACTACCAAATGTGAAACAGGTAGCTAGTGGGAAGCAGCCGCATAGCACAGAGAGATCAGCTCTGTGCTTTGTGACCACCTAGAGGGGTGGGATAGGGAGGGTGGGAGGGAGGCTCAAGAGGGAGGGGATATGGGGATATATATATGTATAGCTGATTCCCTTTGTTATGTAGCAGAAACTAATACAACGTTGTAAAGCAATTATACTCCAGTAAAGATGTTAAAAAAAAAAGAGGAAAAAATATCATACCACATACACCTTCTAGCTATTTGCTTTTTCACTTAAAAATATATTATATACACTTTCTCATATCCTTAAATATGCAACTTACTTTTTCACAGCTGTATCATATTCTATCACATAATTGATTTAACGATTTCCATTTTTTTCATTAACACAAAAAGCATTGTCCAAACCATTCTTGTACATAAATATTTGGTTATTTGTTTCAGTTAAATTCCTAGTGTTAGAATTGCTGGTTAAGGTTTTTGATCCCATTGCCAAATCCCCTTTAAAAAAGGCATCCTACTTTATATTCCCACGCCAGTCCATCAGAGCGTCGAATGCCTTGTAAACTCAACCACCCTGGGCATTTTGTGGGGAGGATTGTTATGAAACTTATTTTCTTGAACTGCGGTACGTGGGCCTCTCTCTGTTGTGGCTCCTGTTGCGGAGCACAGGCTCCGGACGCACAGGCTCAGCGTCCATGGCTGCCGGGCTCAGCCGCTCCGTGGCATGTGGGATCTTCCTGGACCGGGTCACGAACCCGTGTCCCCTGCATCAGCAGGCGGACTCTCAACCACTGCGCCACCAGGGAAGCCCCTTGAATTGCCTTTTATGGGCTAACAGTGTATGGTAGAGGAATTCAGAGAGGAAGAAGAAAATTATGGGAAAATGTATGGGCAGATGTAGCCATATACGGTACAGCTATTTTGCTTCCTGTTATTCTTAGTAACTACATCATTCTGGTGAGAATGCTTAAGGGGACCCTATCCTCCCGTGGTGGTTCCATGTTTCAAATGGAGCCCTCACCTTGGCTATTGTTTTCTCTCCCCTATTCTAGTGAGTAAACTCTCTGCCGTGCCCGGAATTAGCAGTGTCCATGAAGTGCACATCTGGGAACTTATAAGTGGGAAGATCATCGCCACTCTGCACATCAAGTATCAGCAGGATGGGGGAGATCAGGATGCCAGTATAAAAATTCGAGAAATCTTCCACAACACGGGAATCCACAATGTGACCATCCAGTTTGAGAAGGTGGACCTGAAGGGGCCCCTGGGGCAGAAGGACTTGCAGCTGCTCTGCAGCTCACCCTGCATCTCCAAGGCCTGCACCAAGCAGCTGTGCTGTCCCCCCGGGGCACTGCCTCTGGCTCATGTCAATGGCTGTGCGGAGCACAATGGCTGTCCCCCACTGGACTTGTCCCGGAGTGATGGCCTTGGGAGACGACAAACAGCAGAAGTGGCTCTTGAAGTATCTTTGGAAGGTTGTCTGAGTGACCACGGACAAGCTCTTAGCAAATCTCAGGAGGACTCACGTTATGTCAACAGCACACATTTTTAGGTTGGTGCCCACATCAGTAAGCTGTATAGGCAAGGCACTTTGGAACCACTAGCTGGGCTTGTGGGAAGAGATTTGTGAGTCATAGACTGATCACACTCACAGTGTGCACACGCTCTGTGTTCAATAAGCGTTTTGGCTGTTTGGGATGTTAGTTGAACTTGTCTGTTAATTTTTATGTGACTGAGAACCCTTTTACATTATCCTGGGTGTTTCATGCTGCTCTTCAACAGTTTTGTGTGAACATTTATTTTCCGAAGCAAATGCATTAGTATACATATCAGGGACATTGAAGGCTGGGACTCAATAATTGTGGACACAGGATTCAAAGTAGTTTTTGTTTGGAATTGCTTAGAACTGCTAGCTGACTCTCAGGTGAGCTCATAGCCAAGCACATCAAACAAAAACTTAAGAACCATAAGAGCTATATTCTTTTCTATTCCACTGGGAGATCATAAAAGAGGACAGTTAAGTAGTCCTATAACTGCAGAAATTTTTTTCTTTGACTAATTTTTGAATAAACGTAAAACGAATACCTAGTAAGGTAGAAAATATTCTCAGAACATTAGAGGATGTCAAGTTTATTGGGGGTGGGGAAAGGCAGGAAGAAAATGCATTTTGATGATTTCTTCATTTTGAGAGGTAGAGAGAAAAAGACTTTCTGCTGTGAACTGAACTACAGCTATAGGATGTTTCAAATGTTCAAATACATAAGATGCTTTTTTTTTCACTTGGAAGTGTGGGAATATTTCTACTCCTTTAAGTATGACACAGTACCTATATACTGTCTTTTAGAGTCAGTCTAGTTAGGACTATTTTCATTTATTGCTTATTAATGATTTACTTATTTGCCCAAATTTCCCTTCAGTCTTCTTTTATATGATCATATTGATCTATGTAGCATTTAACAGGAGAAAATGAGTATTCTCGGGATAGGAGAATATATGGCATTGAGTATGCATTCTTGCCCAAAAAATAAGCTAGATTGACTTTCCTTTAATTAGACATATTTTAAGGTATTTACTATAGTTTCCAACTAGTAATTTGATGGAAAAGTGTATGTCCAAGGGAGAAATGAGAATTAATTAAATTGCTGCCTTTAATGTGTTTCAAGGGGCTTACCTTTTTCTTTTATGTCTCTTTGACCCATATTATCAAGTTCAAATACATCTATTAGAATCTGATTTTCGTTCCATGTACTGGAGAAACATATGGCATGAATTTAACAAACTGTTTAGGCAGCAATATTTTCACCAGAACAGTCTCAAAATAAGTATAAGAAAATGGGAGGTGCCTCGCTAAAGAACTAGAATTTTTTTTTTTTTTTTTTGCGGTACGCGGGCCTCTTACTGTTGTGGCCCCTCCCGTTGCGGAGCACAGGCTCCGGACACGCAGGCTCAGCGGCCATGGCTCATGAGCACAGCCGCTCCGCGGCATGTGGGATCTTCCCGGACCGGGGCACGAACCCGTGTCCTCTGCATCGGCAGGCGGACTCTCAACCACTGCGCCACCAGGAAAGCCCTAGAATCTTTTCTGATGGGTTGCAAAATTGACTGAAAAAGATCATCCCTCAGGCTCTAAGCATTGAGTCTGCACAGTTTAGAATCTTCACAGTTCTCATCAGAAATGCTGGATTGGGAACAGAAAAAGCACCCACATTTTTCAACACAAACACCATTTAAAAAACTGTGTCTTAGTTTTAAATTCTAAGGCTGAAGTAAAGAAGCAACTGTGATCAGTAGAATAGGAAAATTTTTATTCCTCGAAAATTTATTATCCGAGTTTAAATTGGCCATGAATTAGGTAAATAGAAAAATGCCTAAATATGTTTTTATCCCTAGGAGTTTATTAAACATATATACTTAATAGTATTATATAGTATGTACTATAGCTATTATATAGTATGTACTTAATAGCTAAATAGTATTATATAGTATGTACTTAATAGCTAAAATGGGGGTAGATATAAGGCCACATTTTTATTTTTAATATTAAAAGCATGGCACATACTCACGCAAAACAGAGGATTCTCTGTGAAACTCACCACAGTAAAATGTGGACCAAATTCTCTTGTATAAATGTTGGTTGAGATGCACTGATTGGAGCCAAAGAAGAAATGTCTCTCACTTCCAGATCTGAAGGTCTAATTTGATTTCATATCATTCTGCTTTTATTAAAAGGGAAAAATTATAATTTTATAGTTTTTGTGCAGCTGGGTAAAGGAATGCATATTAGTTTACATCCAAATAATGTTCTTTAATTAATCTCGAAAGTATTTTTCTGGAAAGGAAAAGGCTCTTAATTCCAACACAATTAAATCTAACCTCAGAAAATTATCTCGATGGACATTTATGAACATACCAAATTATGGAGTGCAGTCAATGTGAAATAGTACCTTTTGAAGACAGTTGGGCTTGGTGTGTTTAATAATGTCCAAACAAGCTAATTAAGTGCAATATATTTCTATCGGGTTAGGTGCTTGCATTTGCCACTCAGGCACCGTGATGCCTGCGGTATGGTGTTTTTACTTGGGTTTTACTCTCCCTTTAGTTGTCCTGCATTTTAATTCTCCCAAGGAAACACAAAAATTTTCTTTTTTCCTTTGAATGAGCCCTGCAAAGTGGCAGTGGTGCCTAAACAGCACTGTTTTCTTTCCTGAGATTACAAAAATACTGCTACTCAGTTTCGCGTTCCTGTGTGCTTACGTTAGTTCCAGAAAATTCTCTCTTTTTTTTTTTTTAGGAACTGAAAATAAGTTTGTAAGAGTCTAGGGAATCCTCTGGGTGTCAGATCAGGACCAGCCATCAGGTGTTCTAACCTGGGGACGAGGAATAGCCTCCTATTTCTATGGAAAGAGTCCTTTCCGCATTATTTCAGCACCAGCTATAGGAAAAACTAAGTCTGCTTTTATTTTCCAACTTTCAACTCTGTTTGTGAAAATAGAGGTTCCTTTTTTTCCCATGATATTAGTCCGTTATGAATACCCGTGGGGCTACCAGGTTCCATTGTTGACAGAAAAAAATATTATCCCTTTAATTTTTTGATCAATAAAATAGGGAGACATTGAGGAAGAATTTAGAATACTCTCCATGTTTAGTTACTTTTTTTCCTTCTTTCTTTCTTTCTTTTTCTTTTTTTTTTTTTTTTTGCCACAAGCTGGCCAAACTCTAGTGGAGGTAAATCAGGAACTTCAAAGTTCAGTAGGAATGGGTGCTTTGAATGTCAAAGAAATCACTGGGGTAGATTTTGGATTATAATAAACTGCCTTTTGAGGTAGTAAGAGCTTTTGCTATGCTTCTTCAATCTCCTTGTCGTTGACATTTGAACTGGATAACTCCTTGTTGTGTGGGGCTGTCTTGGCCTTGTAGGATTTTTAGCAGCATCTCTTGGCTTCTACCCCCTAGATGCCAGTAGCATTCCCCCAAGTTGTGACAACCAACGATGTCCCCAGACATTGCCACAGGTCCCCTGGGGAGCAGAATAGCCCCTAGTTCTGAGCCACTGACTTAACCTAAGGGTCCCTGAGGGATATTGTTGATGAAAGCCCTTCCAGGGCCCAATAATCCTTTTAATATAATCACTCTACAGAATTTGCTCTTTAAAAAAATATTTTTAAAGGCTAGATAAAACTATTTATAAAAATACAGTCGTCGTTACATAGAACAATGTAATTTGGAAAATAAAGCCCTTATAAATCTGACTATACAGATCAGTCAATATAACAGTGAATAAAATGCTCTCACTGTTCTGTGATGATCTCTTCAACTCATGAATATCCTCAGTTTGATGAACTCACTGCTAAATGAGAAGGGGTTACATCAGCACAATTGATTCTTGGAGTTAAGGTGTTTAATTTCCCACCAATTTTAAACTTGATATTTTTTTGTTACTGGTTTCTGACAAACAGCGCGTCTTATGCTATGACAAATTCGGATGTTAAAAACATTTTTTTCATTGTTCATGACTCACTTAATCCTTTGCCAAATCATATCCATTTTTTTCCAAGAGGACAAAATACATTTCCTGTTTTTAAATTACCCCGCGTGTAATGTATCTTCACACTCTTGCAATTAAAGATCGCAAAAAAGACTGGTTTAAAAAAAACGACTAAACGCAACCCAATTGGGGTTTCTAATTTAGGCTTAGTAAGCATGCCTATTGTATAGCCCTTGTCGTTCACTTGATAAATTGTCACCTATTTGTGCTTCTGAGTGTATTTGCATGTGATTAGCCACAGGAATAAAACAGGAATGAAGTTGTTGAATCAGGGAACTAGCTGCTCAAATGGAACTTGCATCAGACCCTAATCCTCACTGTAATCTCAATGTTCTTATGAATTTGGAGTTTAGCTAATGAAAATGTGCATTTTTTTCTGGAACTTTTCAGGTGTTTCATTCTGGACATTTTTGTTTACGTGGAACTTTCTTGCTTATCGCTAGATGGATCAGTGGGCTCCTCTTGGTACAAAGCCAGGCCAGAGACACTGAACCTCCTCTGAATTCTGATGGGAATAATCTGGAAAGGACGATGATTTTCAAGGGAGAATAACCCCTTCCTGGAGGTCTGAAATTATGTTACAGTATTGTGGAGTTTTGTTGCTTAAAGTCTTCCTTCTGTCCTCACAGGTGATTTTGCCGAAGTATAATTGTCACATTTGGGGGAATTATTAAAACTCTAAGACACAAAGTTTCAATAACTCATCGCTGATTGCATGTGAAGTCCCCCAGTGATGTATGCACAGACGCATACCTTTAAAAGTGAAGATGTTCAATGGTGCTATCAATAAAAAGTTTTAAAAATAAATATATGACTGAGAGATGTTTGTGAAAATTAAACCGATAACGCAAAGTAGCCGAACGCATTTTGTCTTTGTCACTTACTCTAGTCAATTTCCACTCAGTAACTCCGTGGATTGATTTTAATAATTCAGGACTAATTCTGTCTCCATTTCACACCCCTCTGCCGCTCTCCACTCTTGGCAGAAATGTCACCAATTGACCCAG